AGGTTAAGTTCATTTGGGTAAAGGTGCGATCACAACAGAAGAGGCACCTGCTGACTGTGTTTAATGCCAATGGTTTAATGAAAGAGAAGTACGGGAAACATGACGGTGATAGTGGTGGTGGTTTGGTTTGGTGTTTGGTTGGTGTTTGATTTGGTGTTTGGTTTGGTGTTTGGATTTGGTGTTTGGTTTGGTGTTTGTGTTTGGTTTGGTTGGTTTTTGGTGTTTGGTGTTTGGTGTGTGTTTGTGTTTGGTGTTTGGTTTGGTGTTTGGTTTGGTGATGGTTTGGTTTGGTTTGTGTTGGTTGTGTTTGGTTTGGTGTTTGGTGTAGTGTTTGGTGTTTGGTTTGGTGTTTGGTTTGGTGTTTGGTTTGTTTGGTGTTTGGTTTGGTGTTTGGTTTGGTGTTTGGTGTTTGGTGTTTGGTTTGGTGTTTGGTGTTGGTGTTTGGTTTGGTGTTTGGTTTGGTGTTTGGTTTGGTGTTTGTTTGGTTTGGTGTTTGGTGTTTGGTGTTGTGTTTGGTTTGGTGTGTTTGGTTGGTTTGGTGTTTGGTTTGGTGTTTGGTTTGGTGTTTGGTGGTTTGGTGTAGTGTTTGGTTTGGTGTTTGGGGTGTTTGGTTTGGTGTTTGGTGTGTGTTTGGTTTGGTGTGTTGGTGTTTGGTTTGGTGTTTGGTTTGGTATTTGGTTTGGTGTTTGGTTTTGGTGTTGGTTTGGTTGTTTTGTTTGGTGTGTTTGGTGTAGTGTTTGGTTTGGTGTTTGGTTTGGTGTTTGGTTTGGTGTTTGGTGTAGTGTTTGGTTTGGTGTTTGGTTTGGTGTTTGGTTTGGTGATGGTTTGGTGTGTTGTTTGGTTTGCTTGGTTTGGTGTTGGTGTTTCAAACAGCCCTTTCAGCGGCTCATTAGAATATCCGCTCTTTGCTTCTCTTAAACGATTATTGACAAAATGAAATGAACCAAAATGGCCCCAAAATCCCCAAATCCCCCTGTGTCAGCGCAATTACTGTCCCCACACTCCTCCCCCTCTCCCCCCCCTCCTCTCCCTCTCCTCTCCCTCTCCTCTCCTTCTCTTTCTCCCCCCTCCTCCCTGCTCCTCCCCCTCTCCTCTTTCTCCTCCTCCTCTCTCCCTCACCCCCTCTCCTTCCCCTCTCCTCTCCCCCTATCCTTTTTTCCTCCTCGTCCCCTCTCCTCCCCCTATCCTCTTTCTCCCCCTCTCCTCCCTCTTTCCTCTCCCTCTCCTCTTTCTCCTCATCTCCTCTCTCTCTCCCCCTCTCTTTCCCCTCTCCTCTCCTTCTCCTCTTTCTCCCCCTCTCCTCCCCTCTTTCTCCCCCTCTCCTCCCGTCTTTCTCCTCCTTCTCTCCTCCCTCTCCTCCCTTTCTCTTCTGTCTCTCCTCCCTCTTCCCCCCTTCCTTCCTCCCTCTCTCCTCCCCTCTCTTCCTTCTCTACACTCTCTCTCTTCCTTTCCTCTCTCCTCTTCTCCTCCCTTTCCTCCTCTCCTCCCTCTCTCCTCCCTCTCTCTCTCTGCTCTCACCATTGACAGACTCATAAAATGTTCCTCATTAAAGACCAGTGCGTTGCCATGGTTTTCACGTCACTGTTTGGATGATCTGCTCCTTGTTCTTTTCTGTACTCAACAGTTACACTGACACTGTCTCTTTAACTCCCAAAATGTGTTGAATGAATCTGATTGATTTTTTTAAGTGCACTGGACACAAAAAAGGAAGTTGGCAGCGTTTTCTTGTAAATCGAATGAATTTGTACAAGCAGCAAATGAGAGCGCGTGATTGGTCGATGAGCCGAGGTGGAACTGTAGCCAAAATTTTTACTGAAGTCAGAGTAAAGCTACTTCTAAATAGTATTACTAATATTAAAGTATTAAGTATTATTAAAGTAGAAGTACACAGAAGTGGTCCAAGAAATTACATCAATCCAAATCCACTTGATTTCTGTAGCACATTTTACAAACAAAACAGTTTCCAAAGTCAATAAAGAAGACAACAAAAAGGTAAATTGCTAAAATGTGATCATACCAGTCCTAAAACAATAAAACCAGTCAAAAATAAATAAATAAATCATAAAATAGCTGTAAATAAATATAATAAATTGTATTTATTAAAACACAAGTGATTTTAAAAAGTATTTGGGAAAAGTACTACTCAAATGAGAGTAACTTAAATTAAAGAGTAACTGTCAGGATGTCACATCTGCACACTCCTGTACACTCCTCTCCTGTACTCCTCTCCTGTACACTCCTCTCCTCCTGTACACTCCTCTCCTGTACACTCCTCTCCTCCTGTACACTCCTCTCCTCCTGTACACTCCTCTCCTGTACACTCCTCTCCTGTACACTCCTCTCCTCCTGTACACTCCTCTCCTGTACACTCCTCTCTCCTGTACACTCCTCTCCTGTACACTCCTCTCCTCCTGTACACTCCTCTCCTGTACACTCCTCTCCTGTACACTCCTCTCCTGTACACTCCTCTCCTCCTGTACACTCTCTCCTGTACACTCCTCTCCTGTACACTCCTCTCCTCCTGTACACTCCTCTCCTGTACACTCCTCCTCTCCTTGTACACTCTCTCCTGTACACTCCTCTCCTGTACACTCCTCTCCTGTACACTCCTCTCCTGTACACTCCTCTCCTGTACACTCCTCTCCTGTACACTCTTCTCCTGTACACTCCTCTCCTGTGTACACTCCTCTCCTGTACACTCCTCTCCTGTACACTCTCTTCTCCTGTACACTCCTCTCTCCTGTACACTCCTCTCCTGTACACTCTTCTCCTGTACACTCCTCTCCTGTACACTCTTCTCCTGTACACTCCTCCTCCTGTACACTCCTCTCCTCCTGTACACTCCTCTCCTGTACACTCCTCTCCTCCTGTACACTCCTCTCCTGTACACTCCTCTCCTCCTGTACACTCCTCTCCTCCTGTACACTCCTCTCCTGTACACTCCTCTCCTGTACACTTCTCTCCTGTACACTTCTCTCCTGTACACTTCTCTCCTGTACACTTCTCTCCTGTACACTTCTCTCCTGTACACTTCTCTCCTGTACACTCCTCTCCTTGTACACTTCTCTCCTGTACTCTCCTCTCTCCTGTACTGTACTCTCTCTGTCTCTCTCTGTACTCTCCTCTCTGTGTACTCTCCTCTGTTGTACTCTCCTCTCGTGTGTACTCTCTCTGTACTCTCTCTGTACTCTCCTCTGTTGTACTCTCCTCTGTTGTACTCTCCTCTCGTGTACTCTCCTCTGTTGTACTCTCCTCTCGTGTACTCTCCTCTGTTGTACTCTCCTCTCTGTCTGTTGTACTCTCCTCTGTTGTACTCTCCTCTGTTGTACTCTCTCCTCTTGCTCCTCTGTTGTACTCTCCTCTGTTGTACTCTCCTCTCGTGTACTCTCCTCCTCTTGTACTCTCCTCTGTCTCGTGTACTCTCCTCTCTGTTGTACTCTCCTCTCGTGTACTCTCCTCTCATGTACTCTCCTCTGTTGTACTCTCCTCTGTTGTACTCTCCTCTCGTGTACTCTCCTCTGTTGTACTCTCCTCTGTTGTACTCTCCTCTCGTGTACTCTCCTCTCTTGTACTCTCCTCTCGTGTACTCTCCTCTGTTGTACTCTCCTCTGTTGTACTCTCCTCTCGTGTACTCTCCTCTCGTGTACTCTCCTCTGTTGTACTCTCCTCTGTTGTACTCTCCTCTCGTGTACTCTCCTCTCGTGTACTCTCCTCTGTTGTACTCTCCTCTCGTGTACTCTCCTCTGTTGTACTCTCCTCTCTCTCGTGTACTCTCCTCTCGTGTACTCTCCTCTCGTGTACTCTCCTCTCGTGTACTCTCCTCTCATGTACTCTCCTCTCGTGTACAGTGCAGGTCCATCTATCTCCTGGTATCTGCTCCAGTCCCAGGGCTCCTCACATTAATTACGTGGATCTTCTCCAGAGCAGGTCCGTTCCTCGGCGCGTTCCTCGGCTCCTGCTCCTCCTCCGCTACGTGTGCGCTGACATCTTAAACTAATGGACTTCAACACCTACGCCAGACCCTCGCGTCACACTAATGAGCTACACAAAGACTCTTTACAAAAACAGATGAGGCCTGATCGTCGGATATGGGGAACGAGAAGAATCGTGAGGGTGTCAGACTCCCAGACACATTTGACTTTTGACCACACTGCACTTTACCAAGAAATCTACAAAAAGCGATTCACAAATGATGAACCCGATCGGTATTGTTAGAGACGAGATCCTAAAACATCCCTGAGTCTTGAGAGAGCAGAGGAGAAGAGATGGAGAGAGAAGAAGAGGAGGAGAGAGTGGAGGAGAGAGGAGAAGGATACAGAGATGGAGAGAGCAGGGGAGAGAACGGAAGAGGAGGAGACGAGATGGGGAGAGGGAAGAAAAAGAGGAGAGAGCAGAGGAGAGGAGGAAGAGAAGGATACAGAGATGGGGAGAGGGAAGACGAGGAGAGAGAAGAGAAGAGAACAAGGAGAGAGAAGAGAAGAGAAGAGAAGAGAAGAGAAGAGAAGAGAGAGGAGGATACAGAGATGGAGAGAGGGAAGAGGAGGAGAGAGTGGAGGAGAGAGGAGAAGGATACAGAGATGGAGAGAGCAGAGGAGGGAGGAGAGGAGATGGAGAGAGGGAAGAAGAAGAGGAGAGAGCAGAGGAGAGAGAAGACTGAGAGAGCAGAGGAGTGAGGAGAAGGATACAGAGATGGAGAGAGCAGGGGAGAGAACGGAAGAGGAGGAGACGAGATGGGGAGAGGGAAGACAAGGAGAGAGAAGAGAAGAGAACAAGGAGAGAGAAGAGAAGAGAAGAGAAGAGAAGAGAAGAGAGGAGGAGGAGGATACAGAGATGGATAGAACAGGGGAGAGAGCAGAAGAGGAGATGGAGAGAGAGAAGAAGAGGAGAAGAGAACAGAAGAGGGAGAAGGATACAGAGATGGAAAGCGCAGTGGAGAGATCAAAAGAGGAGGAGAGGAGATGGAGAGAGGGATGAAGAGTAGTAGAGAGCAGAGGAAAGAGATGGAGAGAGTAGGGAAAAGAGCAGAGCAAAAGAGGAGGAGAGGAGATGGTGAGAGGGAAGAAGAAGAGAGGGCTGAGGAGGAGGACACAGAGTTTCAGAGAGGGAAGAGGAGGAGAGAGTGGAGGAGAGAGGAGAAGGATAGGGAGATGGAGAGAGCAGAAGAGGAGGAGAAGAGATGGAGAGAGAGAGAAGAAGAGGAAGGAGGAGAAGGATACAGAGTTGCAGAGAGGGAAGAGGAGGAGAGAGCAGAGGAGAGAAAAGACTGAGAGAGCAGAGGAGCGAGGAGAAGGATACAGAGACGGAGAGAGCAGGGGAGAGAACGGAAGAGGAGGAGACGAGATGGAGAGGGGGAAGAAGAGGAGGAGAGAACAGAAGAAGGAGAAGGATACAGGGATGGAGAGAGGGAAGAAGAGAAGAGAACAGAAGAGGGAGGAGAAGGGTACAGAGATGGAGAGAGGGAAGAAGATGAGGAGAGAGAAGAGGAGAGAGGATGATACGGAGATGGAGAGAGCAGAAGAGGAGGAGAGGAGATGGAAAGAGAGAAGAAGAGGAGAAGAGAACAGAAGAGGGAGAAAGATACAGAGATGGAGAGAGGGAAGAAGAGGAGAGAGAACAAGAGAGAAGAGAAGGGTAAAGAGATGGAGAGATTGGGGGAGAGAGCAGAAGAGGAGGAGGGGAGATGGAGAGAGGGAAGAAGAGGAGGAGGGAACAGAGGAGAGAGGAGAAGGATACTGAAAGGGAGAGAGAAGGGGAGAGAGGAGAAGGATACAGAGATGGAGAAAGGGAAGAAGAAGAAGAGGAGAGGAGAAGGATACGGAAATGGAGAGAGCAGAGGAGGGGAGGAGATGGAGATAGGGAAGAAGAGAGGAGAAGAGAAGAGGAGAAGAGAGGAGAAGGATACAGAGATGGAGAGAGCAGAGGAGAGATCAGAAGAGGAGCACAGGAGATGGAGAGAGGGAAGGAGAGGAGGAGAGAACAGAGGTGGGAGGAGAAGGATACAGAGATGGAGAAAGGGAAGAAGAAGAGAGCAGAGGAGGAGAGGAGAGAGGTGTAACTATCGATGATTCACTGTTAACCTCTGAGGATGAGGAATAACAGTGTCAGTGCTCTACTAATATTTGAAATGAACATTTAACACAGACGAGGAAGAAGAGGACAGAGACAAGGAAGAAGAGGACAGAGAAGAGGAAGAAGAGGACAGAGAAGAGGAAGAAGACACAGAGACGAGGAAGAAGACACAGAGACGAGGAAGAAGACACAGAGACGAGGAAGAAGACACAGAGACGAGGAAGAAGACACAGAGACGAGGAAGAAGACACAGAGACGAGGAAGAAGACACAGAGACGAGGAAGAAGAGGACAGAGACGAGGAAGAGAGACACAGAGACGAGGAAGAAGACACAGAGACGAGGAAGAAGACAGAGACGAGGAAGAAGACAGAAGAGACGAGGAAGAAGACACAGAGACGAAGAAGAAGAGGACACAGAGACGAGGAAGAAGACACAGAGACGAGGAAGAAGACACAGAGACGAGGAAGAAGACACAGAGACGAGGAAGAGGACACAGAGACGAGGAAGAAGACACAGAGACGAGGAAGAAGACACAGAGACGAAGAAGAAGAGGACAGAGACGAGGAAGAAGACACAGAGACGAGGAAGAAGACACAGAGACGAGGAAGAAGAGGACAGAGACGAGGAAGAGGACACAGAGACGAGGAAGAAGACACAGAGACGAGGAAGAAGACACAGAGACGAAGAAGAAGAGGACAGAGACGAGGAAGAAGACACAGAGACGAGGAAGAGGACACAGAGACGAGGAAGAGGACACAGAGACGAGGAAGAGGACAGAGACAAGGAAGAGGACAGAGAGACGAGGAAGAGGACACAGAGACGAGGAAGAGGACACAGAGACGAGGAAGAGGACACAGAGACGAGGAAGAGGACAGAGACGAGGAAGAGGACACAGAGACGAGGAAGAGGACACAGAGACGAGGAAAAGGACACAGAGACGAGGAAGAGGACACAGAGATGAGGAAGAGGACAGAGAGACGAGGAAGAGGACACAGAGACGAGGAAGAGGACACAGAGACGAGGAAGAGGACACAGAGACGAGGAAGAGGACACAGAGACGAGGAAGAGGACACAGAGACGAGGAAGAGGACACAGAGACGAGGAAGAGGACACAGAGACAAGGAAGAGGACAGAGACGCTTACACCTCATGAGTGGACGTGGTTTATGGTTCTTCTCTCTTCATTACTGGGCCTATCCACATGAAACCAAAACGGACACGAAGTTCAGCGTCTTCAACTAAAGTCAAATTAAACCTTTTTTTTTTTTTTCACAGCCTCTTCAGAAAGTGGTGCCAATATTCAACCCCAAAGACGTGATTGTTGTCAGTCGAGAAAAAACTTAAAGGGATAGTTTGGATTTTTTGACATAAATCTGTCTGTCATCCCCGTCATCAGTGTTGTGCATCCACACCGACTTACCCCCCGACAGCGTCCGGTGAGCCCAGATACTGGCCCGTTTTGGTGCTGAGGAAAGTAGTTCGGCAAGTTGTGTGGGGACTGTATAATAAAGCGTTTTTCTTCTCAAAGCAATATGTGTTCAAAAAAAAAGTGATACATTTGCATCACAAAACCATCGTCCTCTAAAAAGTCAGACCTCATTATCGCTTGGCACTATTTTCTCTCCGTACGTATCACGGCGCGCGGCTGTCACTTGGCGGCCGCGCACGGATCCATCACTTTCTGCAGTTGTTCGGCAGTGTTTACATGCGCAGACGCCGCCACGCGAGAGAGCTAACGAGAGAGCTAACGAGAGAGCTAGAGCCAGAAGTATATGAGCCTGGTTCACTTTGTTTACTGCTCAGAATGTCAATAAAGACTTTGCCTTTACCACAAACCGAAGGGGAGATCTTTATGAACCCGAATATACTAATGCCAAAATTCAGCAGATGGAGTTAGAACGAGCAGAGAGAGAAGAGAGACAGAGAAGTGGTACAAGTTGACGCTGGAGCCGTGAGAGACTGAGTGAGCGACAATCACCATCACGTCATTTATAAACTCATATACAGCGAACATAGAGCCTCCACTGTGACTGAAGCATGGACGACTAATAGAAACATAGAATCATCCACACGTCCACGTAGCTGCTGCCAATAGTGTACGAGACATTTACAATAGTAATAACAGTCGACTTATAAAGTTAGGTTTTGTAGAAGCTTCACTGGTGATATGACACTGAGTGATTTACTGCACACAGAGTTACAGCTGATTCTTGAGTCTGTTCTCTTGTAAACGTAGCGGCACTTCTTCGTTCTTACCTGGTTTGGTTTCCACATTGAAGCCAAAGGCAAGAAGCCAAAGTTTCCTCAGCGCAAAGTCCGTGACAGGAAAACAGTGAAATGTGTGTGGAGATTCAAACAGATTTTTGTTGTTACAGCCTGGAGAATCAAGAGTTCGCACCATTTTTTAGATATATTCATATGTATCTTATACAAGCTTATATACTTCTGGCTCTAGCTCTCTCGTTAGCTCTCTCGCGTGGCGGCGTCTGCGCATGTAAACATTGCTGAACAACTGAAGAAAGTGATGGATCCGTGTGCGGCTGTCACCTGGCGGCCGCGCACAGTGATACGTACGGAGAGAAAATAGCGCCAAGCGATTATGAGATCTGACTTTTTTGGCGACGATGGTTTTGTGATGCAAATGTTTCACTCTTTTGAACAAATTTTGCTTTGAGAAGAAAAACACTTTATTATACAGTCCCCACACAACTTGCCGAACTACTTTCCTCAGCACCAAAACCGGCCAGTATCTCGGCTCACCGGACACTGTCGGGGGTAAGTCGGTGTGGATGCACAACACTGATGACGGGGTTGACATACAGATTTATGTCAAAAAATCCAAACTATCCCTTTAAGCCCTAAGATTCATATGATAAGACAAAATGATGTTCTGTGGAGACATGTAGATGACACGTAGAGACCGATGTGCACGCGTGTTTAGGGCGTCGTGCGTTTTTGCGGCGCGTCTTCAGGTGTCCACACGTCCAGGCTGTCAACGTCAGAAGATGAAAACGCTGAAGTTTTGGTGTAGGATGTGTCGTGTCAACCAATCAGGGACGACTATCCAGTGACGAAGGAAAGACGAGGAAAGAAGGAGAAGAAAGAGAAAGACTTTAACCCTAACCCTAAACCAGGACTGGACTAAGACTAAACCAAGACTAAACCAGGACTGGACCAAGACTAAACCAAGACTAAACCAGGACTGGACTAAGACTAAACCAAGACTAAACCAGGACTGAACCAAGACTAAACCAAGACTAAACCAGGACTGGACTAAGACTAAACCAAGACTAAACCAGGACTGGACCAAGACTAAACCAGGACTAAACCAGGACTGGACTAAGACTAAACCAAGACTAAACCAGGACTGGACCAAGACTAAACCAGGACTAAACCAGGACTGGACTAAGACTAAACCAAGACTAAACCAGGACTGGACTAAGACTAAACCAAGATTAAACCAGGACTGGACTAAGACTAAACCAGGACTAAACCAGGACTAAACCAAGACTAAACCAGGACTAAACCAGGAGTAAACCAGGACTGGACCAAGACTAAACCAAGACTAAACCAGGACTGAACCAAGACTAAACCAAGACTAAACCAGGACGGGACTAAGACTAAACCAAGACTAAACCAGGACTGGACCAAGACTAAACCAAGACTAAACCAGGACTAAACCAAGACTAAACCAGGACTAAACCAGGAGTAAACCAGGACTGGACCAAGACTAAACCAAGACTAAACCAAGACTAAACCAGGAGTAAACCAGGACTGGACCAAGACTAAACCAAGACTAAACCAGACTAAACCAGGACTAAACCAGGACTGGACGAAGACTAAACCAAGACTGAACTAGGACTAAACCAGGTCTAAACCAGGACTAAACCAGGACTTATCAAGGACTGAACCAGTGTGTCCAAGATCAGCGGTCCATGAATGTAAAGTGGAATCTGGACACTGTATTTAGTTTTTTTTTCTGTGTCCTGTTCAGTTTGATTTACGAGCAGAGAGTTTTGCACACCGCACTGCTGCTGCTCCACACATCCACTACACACACACACACACACACACACACACACACACACACACACACACACACACACACACACAGGGTCAATACAAAACCTGGTGAACCCTTTGAGGACCAGGTAACCAGAAAAGGACCTTTGAGGACCTTTTCCCATTAAAAAGATAAACTATTTTATTTGAAATTGTTAATCACTATGGCAACAGTCCTAATGTATCAAAATTCTTCAAGCAAGGGGGTTTTATTGAATGTTTTCAGTTTATAAAAGGCTTTTTTAAACATAAACTATGTTGCTATGGAACTTCTCAGTTCCATAGCAACACAAAGAAACAAACAACAGTTTTTAATTGTTATTGTTTGAATTAAACTACAGCCAAACATCAACTCTACACTGATCTGGTACAAAAAATACTTCAAGATGCTGGTTCCTGCGCACATGGCTCCTGAAGACACTCTGGAAGTGAGTTTACTCTGAGTATAATCGGTGTCGGCGGCAAGGTGAGGCATTTGAGGGCCGTGCCCCTCCTAGCGGCCACTGGTGCCCCAGCACAGGCCGTTATTATGACTATTTTAAAATGATTTTGATTGGCACATTTCACTTCGGGCTGAGGGCACAAACTTTACTGTGACATCAATGACATCACAGTCTGTTTATTTAGTGTAGTGTGATTGGACAACTGTCCTGTCACTCACGTCACGTCACGTCAACCTGCTGCGTCAACTCGTAGCAGCTTCACGATTAGCGGCAGCTGCTACTTTAGCCTAAAGCTCCACACAGGAAATGGCCTGGAGAGAACAGAGTCAAAGACACACGGACAGACCCGCCGCCGGGACCCGGGGCTTATTTAAGTCGGTCACTTTATTTAAGTCGGTCACTTTATTAAGTTGGTCACTTTATTTATTTTAGCTACTGTTGTGGTGAAAAGACTGGAAAGTGTTTGTCTTTTGGACACATGTGACTCAACTTTATGTTAGTAGTATGCAGTAACAGGGATACTGCGTTTACATGCCACAGTATCCCGGTTACTATCGGAATAAACCAGCTACAGTATCCTGGTTTCTAATAACCGCAACACTGAAACCGGGGTTACTGCATTTACATGCACCATGAAGAAACCAGGATACTCAAAAAACCCGATCATCCTCGGGACACTGATGTCCTGTAAACACACTCACTGAAGTGATCAGAAAGACCAAAATTAGGACTGTTGTCATAGCGATCAACAATTTAAACCAAATATAGCTCCTGAATGGAAGAAAAGTTAAGAATATTCTCTGCATCCTCTTCTCTGACCCTCTGACCCTCTCCTCTTTTCCTTCTGACTTTTTAAGCTCAAATTGTTTCTTTTCAGAATCCAGAGGAGAGGAGAGAAGAGGAGCAAGAGTTAGAGCAACCAGAAGAGACTGCGGAAGGTACTGAACCAGGTCTAGACCAGGACTTAACCAGGACTAAACCAGGACTACAACAAAACTAACTGCTGTATTTAAATGACTCTTGTGTTTTGTGTTTGCAGAAGCCTCCAGCTCCCAAAAGGCACCGGTCGAGCAGCTCAATCTAAACATCACGTAAGTCACTGTACTGATGCTCTGGGCTGATGTCATCAACAGTCCCTGGGGGCGTGATGCCAACTGGAGGCACTGCTGGTTCTGACGTGCCGCTCTTTACGTCTACGTTCAGACTGCAGGGCTTTAATGCTCAGTTTGGATTTTTTTTATGTTTTTTGCGAGGTCGTTCACATTTCCAGTTAAATGTGACTTGTGTGTTGTGATCTCCAGTGTGAATTTTAAAGGGCCCATCTCATGAAAAAATCAGCTTTCAGATGTTTCTACCTTCTCAGATTGATGTGTGGACGTGTTGTGTCGTGTTTCAGGAACGTGATGTGCTCAGCATCACTCAAACTGTCGCCTGAATCTCAGAAAAAAATCGCAACGACGGACGGAATGTGGAAATAAAACACGACATAAAGACTGACTAACGGACGATAACCAGGGACCATAAACCAGGTAACCAGGACTAAACCAGGACTAAACCAGACTAAACCAGGACTAAACCAGGAAACCAGGACTAAACCAGACTAAACCAGACTAAACCAGGTCTAAACCAGATAAACCAGGACTAAACCAGACTAAACCAGAACTAAACCAGACTAAACCAGGACTAAAAGGACTAAACAGGTCTAAACCTAAACCAGGACTAAACCAGGACTAAACCAGGACTAACCAGGAACCAGGACTAAACCAGGACTAAACCAGGACTAAAACCAGGACTAAACCGGACTGAACCAGGTCTAAACCAGGACTAAACCCCACCGGGACTAAACCAGGACTACTAACCAGGGTAAACCAGGAACCAGGACTAAACCAGGACTCTAAACCAGGACTAAACCAGGACTAAACCAGGGACTGAACCAGGTCTTAAACCAAACCAAACCAGGTCTAAACCAGGACTGAACCAGGACTGAACCAGGTCTAAACCAGGTTTATTAAACAGTGTGTATTTGTCTTGTTTAGTTTAATCAGGTGATCATGAGGATTCGGTCTCCCAGATCCACGGCGATGATCTCAGGAAGAGGACACCTGAGCTGCACCGGAGCACACAGGTCTGACCTGAACTCACGACACGACTTTACACACACGGACAAATCTAACCCCGCCGCCGCCGCCGCCGCCGCCGCCGCCGCCGCCGCCGCACCGCCGCCACCGCCGCCGCCGCTGCACTCTAAACACAAAGTGAACATGAGCGCGCTTCCTGTGTCCCGTCAGTTTGAGCTCCCAGGCAGAAGTGGAGGAAACAAGTCACATTTTTCAAAGTGGATTAGTTTTATTGTGTGTCGTTTTCTTGAATTTTTACACAATCTTTCCAACTTTTTGCAGCAGCGTTTTGCTCATGTGTGGATCAGAGGTGTGAAAATATCAAAATATCAATATATCGCATAGTTTAATGTGATGATACAGTATCGATATCGTGGACTCATGTATCGATATATCACCAAGAATATTTTTTGGCTTATTTCTCTAAATTCTTTTGTTACAGAGCTACATAGTCCGGTTCCTTATTGTCAGTTTTTGACCTTAGTGGGAAGTTTTTGGGGATTTGCTAACCTATATATTTTTGGAAAGGTTATAGTATATGGAGTCAGAAAATCAATGTTTGCATTTGCCCACATGTCTTTATGGCGGCCATATTGGATTTTTTTTTTTAAATGGCCGCGAAAAAACCCTTTTTGGAATATCTCAGCCTCTGAATAAGCTGAAATGTTGATTTTAACTGCTAAACCCACATTTTCAGGGTCAGGGAATCAAATGGTGCTAGTTACAAACCTGTAAGACCTACCCACATTAACCCTTAGATAAATAAGCGGGTCAAAAATGACCCGGTTTGGTTGTTTTATTGCATTTTCACTGTAATATTCACATGTTCCTCCAAAAACATGTTTGTTTGTTTTTTATTATTATCCTGCTGAAATACATCAACAATATGGTAAAACAAATTATAAACATCACATGCAGCGGTCAGAACTCAAAGAGTTTAAAAGTAGCTAACATAAAATGGATATTGGATGTAAACACACACATTTAGACACAATATGATTACACAACTTTTTTATGAGACATTTTTATACATCATCATTATCATCATCACTTTCATACAACCATAGACTGTATATATATGAGTGGACAGATCTAACGCTGGAGCCGCCGTGTGCCAAATAGGAAGTTCTCCAGGAGGCTCTTCCGGCTCCTTCTGACTCTGGCTCCAATGGACTTACATTAAGGATCTTGTGGCTCCTCTCTCTGTACCTGCTGCAGTGAGCCTCAACATTTTGGTCTTAAAATGTTTGTGTTAACCCTAACCCTAAACCTTGCATAAGGAGAAGTGATTGAACAAAGACTTTTAGTGTCACAGCCACAATTTAGACTCGATTTTTATTGAATCGTTAAGCAATCAGTTTGAAATATATTGTACTAATCGAAACTGTATCGAAGTATGTATTGT